AAATTCCACTGTTAACCATTATCCATCTATGTTCATAATGCTTATGTACTAAGGTAATATCGATGCACTACGCACAGTATGAACATATGCCAATAAGAGATTGATCAACTGCAGTGCTAAACATCAATCGGAAGATTTAGGTAAACAATATCAAGTGAATAGTTATTAATGTTTGTTACAACAACATTATATCAGTATAAGTGTATCCACATCATTCCACTTCTGATTTGTTTTACACGCTACTTATATCTGTCAACTTTAGTAGCATACACCACAATGATGCTCCTATTGAGTAAGATGAGTCTGTAGTGAACTCAAACTCTAAATTAAACCATTCTATATGTCACTGATTTATTCTGATTCTATGAACAGTACAATTTGGTTTAATCATCTTATTTATTATCATCACAGAGTTTAGTATCACGAATTCAATCCTTACGATGGATGTACATATATTGAATAGTAAAAAATTCACTTGGTATTGGTTCCTTGAATCGTCCGATTAATGTTTAGGACTGCAGTTGATCAGTCTCTTATTGGCATATATGCATGCTGTGCGTATCGCTTCAATATTGCCTCAATTTACAAGCATTCTAAGCAAAGATGGATAGTGGCTAACAATGGAATTCAGTTTGACGCGCGTCTCGTTCTACTTGTGTTTTGTCAGATGAATGTACCTGCATCTTAGAGTTGATGTTCACTCTAGGATGCAGGCGAATCTTGGATTCTACTGCTAGCTACTATACCATCTTTGCTTAACATTATTGAATAGTAACTCTATTTTGATTCCACTTATTACAAATTTTTCACTAATGTACAGACTTAATATTTCAGTGTATTATTCATTTATTTATATCATATAAGCTCGTTTCCTTTTAGCTTATTTATGGTGGAATTGAAGAACTATGTTGGGAAATGCATCGTGGTGTAAAATGGGATGTAAATTACACTAATTCACTGAATAATTCTCCAATAAAATATGATCATCGAAAAATGTTGAATGATTTTTGGGATAATGAAGAATTAGAATTGATTAAAGAAATCGATTCTATCATACATAATAATAACAATGATGGAACTGTTAATAATCAAATGAATGATCAATTATTGAAGAGTAAAATTGTTGAATCCAGTGAGTCAATTAGTTACTACCATTGTTTAGTAGTATAGTATACATTTAGTACAGAATAAGCCTCTAAATACCCTAATACGGCGGAGAGTAGGGAGAGTTATCTCTCCCTTTTCAAATACTTTCACATGACCACATGCGTACACCCACTGCCAGTGAAATCCTACTCACTGCATTCTCGCACCAGGTGTGTTCACGAAAGCGAGAGGATGAAAAGAAAATATCCGGCGCTTTAACCGAGTTGGTGGATATGGAGGATTCACTTAGAGTAATTGGAAAACCCTAATTCTAAACCAACGGTGCACATGGGCTCCGTTTGTGACCCCTAAGAAAACTACCTGCTTCGGTTTGAGTACCCGTACACTATCATAGCCCACACATAAATCAAGTGACTTGTGCGGCGCATATGTATTCGGTGCCCCTTTATACCAATATTTATATGTTCAAACAAATGAATAATTGACAAACAAAGTGAACAACCCAAAAATTTATTTCATTGTCTTTATGGTAGATTCAAATGTGTTTAGTCAACACTAATATATATGAGTAAAATTATGAAGGGTAGTGAATATTATTAAAGAATTATTAAATGTATAAAAATGGTTGAGTAGTATATACTAGGAGAAACAGTTCAATTTTTAAAAATAGAGTCAGAGTAAATCCTTTCAATTAGTTCTCACATTTAGACGAAAATTACAGTGTGATCACTGTCACTTTCTATACTGAACCATATCTCATAACGTCTAAAGTCACTGAGTTACATTACCTCTCAGATTGCAAGCAGTAGGTCGTGATGGACTGACTGATGCCAGCGTCATACAGCTGACTATTTCTCAGCTTTATTCAACCAGTCTCCGCTTTGGCAAATAAAACATGGCGTTAATGTTTTTCAGCTGAACAATCACAATAGGCAAGCTGGAATACCACGATCAAGACACTACTTTCTGTCATAAAAATTGGCAATACGTATCCGCAACCTCAATGATTTTTTATGATGGTCAAGCTGTATCGTTGATTGGGAAACATTAGGAATATGATATAAGTACCTCCTGTTTGCTTAGGAACTTAAAGCTTGTAAACTCTGTGTTGTTTTGGGTCATGGGTACTCATTGCCGAAGAGATTTTCCCAAAATAAGGTATAGGATGTTCGTCTTCCAGCTAAATTCGATCCCGAGCAGAAAGACTAATTTATTTCAATTAGTCGCCATACTTAATTTCATATTCTATGGAACTAACATTTTTTCAATACTTGAGATCATGAGTCGATTGAAGATAGACCACCATGGAAAACCTGGAAGCACTGGATGGCCGTTTCGTCCTATTGTGGAACTCTTCAACAGTGAGCATTCACGATCCCGCTCCCCGCGCGATTCGAACCCAGGATCTATCGGTTTCGCACGCAAGCGCTTAACCTCTAGACCACTGAGCCGGCATTCAACGGTGTTAATGTCTAACTTCAACTAATCCACGAAATTAAGCGACACATCCACCTTTGTCTACAATGAGTGACTCGATTGAACTCCACTGGTCACTGCTCATGACTTATGATTTCAACTATTGAAATTACTATAATATCCACAAATATCCCTTCTGATATTAACAAACATGTTTGCTGTAAAATTGGATTGTTAGTTTCAGAACTTTGTAGTTATTTATTTATACACTCTATTCACTTATTTCTGCTTATTGAATAAAATGGAAATTATTTTATTATTATTAATGCGATCTTGCTGTACGAAATGGTACCATCACTAATCATCTCACGTAGTTTTAACTTGTAAATTTCCGGATTAGTATAATTATCCTTACATCTCACCAAATTATTATCAACTACCAGCACTCCCATATAATAATGATTAATACTACTCAATTATCAATGCTTATTGTTGAACTATTAATGCCATGTACAACAAATACGTGCATACACCATAGGTCAGTCAGCAACAACATAGAACTTCATATGTATGTACATACATCAGTTCAAGTTGCCATACTACATTAGCACAAAGATACAATTGTTGATTCAAATCTTATAAATTCTCATATTTCTCTTTGAAAATTAAATAAAAATAGTAACTACCCGTTTTATAACTTGTGGCCTGTGTGCCCTGTTAACGTATAACGTAATGATACCACCAATCAGAGAACAGTGAATTATCGACTGGACTAATGATGCATAAAACCTGTACGGGCAGTCTAGAGTCCTTATCGATTCTGCTTCCTGCCTAACCCAGCCAGTTATGCCCAGAACACAAATCTCAGCTTCTGCCATATGAATCATATATTTCAAACATACTGGGTTTATATACACCAACCAAACAGACTACATTGTACCAATAAAATAGGAAACAACATTTGTACAAGAATTGGCCAGATGTGGCTGTGAATAAGGGAGGTAGTAATCAATATAATAGGTATAACTCAAGAATGGTAAATCACATAATCATTGGTCTAAATAAAGGGAACAGGAATATGAATAGTTTAGTAATTTACCAATTATACGATAAAAATATACGTATAGTATTAGTCCAGAAATAGATTCCAACAATCACCATTCACTATTCTTGTCGGAACCTAAAAACCCGTAAAATTTTACCATTCTTTATATAATTAGACTCATTTAAGTACTGTAATGTTGATATTCTATTTTGTTTTTATTGCATACATGATTACAATTTCCAATCATTTATTGATTTTTAATATATTGATTTTATTATGATGATGATCATTGTTGGTATTGTACTTGTCCTTTTTATTTTTGTTTAGCTCGTTATGCACTGATCAAATCATTAGAAAGTATTGCATTAAATAAAGAAAACTAAAATTGTACTATGTATGTGATATGTAAAGATTCATATAGAGATTCAAGTAAAAACATATTTCTTTACATTTTGTTTTCTTTACTTGATGTTTATTCTCATTGTTTCATTTATGATACAACTCAACTGAACACTGTTGCTTCTTCAATTGATTAAAATGTAGTATTAAATAAGTCTCATATTATATAGATTCATCATCATTAAAACTAGTCAACATTATTATTATTATTGTGAAATACGGGAACATTTCTGATATTCATAAATCTTCATTTTGAACTTTTTCTAAATAAGCGATTTGCATTTAGTTCACTCATGGCTAATTCTTCAACTTTACTGAGTTCGAATCCCGTGAGCGAAATGCGTAAATACGCATTGCTGAGGAGTCCCATAATAGGACGAAACAATCGTCCAGTGCTTACAGGTTTTTAAAAGTGATCTAATATCAATCAGTTCGTGATCTCAATTAAAAACTTAATAATCTCTACAACTCTATACTGATAGCTTTAATTGACTCATGAATTCAACTATAAATTTATTAAAATCTCCACAAAACCTCCATTCTGATAATCTCATGAAAATATTAGCATATTTTTCATTTCACTATCATTGTTTATAGTTGCACTGGAATGCTAATTAACTATATTTATGTTACTTGGAGGTTTTGAGCTATTATGCCTAGGTTAAGATTTTATTTTCGAGTGCACCGTATCCCATTTAATTGATCCTGTCAATTTAGGCATACAGTTCTTCAAGAATAGTAATTATTGCTCACTATTTTATTGGAAAACGCCGCTTGTAGCTCTCGTAAAGCTACTGCCGGTCTCAAGCAGGGTGAACGAGGAGGGTTGGGCCTGGGGTTGGTAACTCTATCCTATAGAAAACAACCTTGCTAATAAAAACGTTAACCAGAATAAGCGATTTCAACTCTGCCCTGTGAGTTGAAGGGAGGATTATGACGATGCCCCTTCTAACAATCAGAACAATGATTTTTTTATAGGTACACAGAACTTTCGGACAATGTGTGAGACCGGGAGGACCAGTCAAATAGCAACGGAAATGAGGAGATACAACTTGGCGGTTCTCGAGATCAACAAAACCCCATTTGACCCAAGCAGGACAGAAAAGGTCAAGTACGGGAGAAATGCTGCTGAACTCCGATCACGAAGAGAGAAATGCTTTACACACTTACGGAGTTGCTCTGATACTATCTAAAGAAGCACGAAATGCACTTCTAGGATGGGAATCTCATAGGTCCAGAATTATCAAAGTATCTTTCAAGACGAAGAAGGAGGGAATTACAATGAATGTTATCCAATGCCATGCAACTACCAATGATAGCAACGACGGTGATAAACATCAGATTTACGAAATCGACCAGCGAGGTGCTCAAGAGGACCTAATTATTCTGATGGGAGATCTAGATGTGAAAGTCGGAATGGGAAACAACGATTATCCAGATATCATGGGACAACATGGACTAGGAGAAAACAAAGGGGAATGTTCATTCAACAAATCGGTTATAGGCTGCAGAATATTTCCACACAAACCCATACACAAAACTACATGGGTCTCATCGGACCACATCACGAAGAACTAGGTAGATCATACTTGCATCAGTAAGAAATTCACAAGGTCGATGGGAGACGTAAAAACCAGGAGAGGAGCTGATATAGCTTCGGACCACCACCTGGTGGTTGCTAAGATGAAACTGAAGATAAAGGGAGCACTTGACAACGGAACAGGCAGCACTGCATAGGTTCAATACAGCCTTCCTTCGAGATACTGACAAACTCAACGAATTCAAGATAACTGCCAACAACAGGTTCCAAGCCTCACAGGATCTACTGAAAGAAGAATCTACTATAGAGGACAACTGTAAAGGTATCAAACAAGCACTAACCTCAACGTGTCAGGGGGTTCTGAGCCGCAAAAAGCATCATAAGGAATGAGTCTCTATCGAATCCCTGGACAAGACAGCAACTGACAACGTCCGAACAAAAACACAGAAAGTCAAGGTCAATACAAACAATGTAGCAGCAGCTCCTGCATCAGTAGGACTCATCGTATATAAGGGAACAAGCGAGATCCTCGAATACAACACGGAGAATACCAAACCAGTCACTTGATGAAGAAGCTCTACAAGAGGTGGAATCTTTCACGTATCTGAGAACATACGTAAACAATGAGGATCTGATGCATACGTAAAGGCCAAGGATTGGCAAAGTAAGGGCGGCATTCCTACAGTTGAAGAATATATGGACCGATGCATATATGTGCCTGGTTCTACGTTGTAGCTGACTGACTGATTGATATGGAACTCAAAACAACTATCAACCAACATCAAAGCCACAATTAAGGAAGGGAAAAATCGAGCGAAGAAATTTCTTTCCAATTAGTTTTTCATCATGGTAGAATTTTCAATGCTAACTTCAAGACAGTCCTACAGTACGGAGCTGAAAATTGGAGAATAACTACAACCATCGTCAAAAAGGTACAAGTATTTATAAACAATTGTTTACACAAGATACTCAATATCCGTTAACCGGATACCATCGGCCACAGCCTACTATTGGAGAGGACTAACCAGGTTCCAGTTGAAGAAATTAGGAAAACGTTGGAAGTGGATGGGACAGACATTGAGGAAACCATCAAACTGTATCATGAAGCAAAAATCAATTTGGAATCCTGAAGGGAAACGGAGAAGAGAAAAACTGAAGAACACACTGCACCGAGAATTGGGAGCAGACATGAAGAGAAAGAATAGCAACTGGAGAGGATTGTCCATGACGGGTAACAGACGTAAGTAAAAGTATTTCATTGGTAGCCAGCTGTGATAAGACAGCATATATTTTTAGGATTCTCTATAACGGGGATTTACATCATACAGTTTCGCTTTTAAAGCAAATTATGTAAATATAGATTTATCATCCTATATTGATTTATTTGAACACATAGATATTGGTACAAGAAGGCATCAGGTACACATGCGCCACACAAATCTCATCTGAAGCAGGTGGTTTTCTTAGAAGGCCACACCCGGCGCCTTCGACCTAAAGGTCTGGTCCCCATGGCAGTGGAGCATCATAAGGAGATGCAGTCCCAAGGCAGTCGGTGACCAGCGATCGGTTCATACGCCATTCATTCTCTTAGGATCCTGAAGCTAGCCCGTGTGTAACATTTGTTTTAAATCAGAATTTTCCAACTCTCCGTGTCCACCAACGCGGCTAAAGCACCGGACATTCGCTTTTCGTCTTCTCAGTTTCGTAAAAAATAACCCCGCCACGAAAACGCAGTGAGTAGGACTTCTCTCGCAGAGGCTATATACGTGTGGCCATGTGAGAGCGTTTCGAGAGGGAGAGCTTACTCTCCCCACTCTCGGCCGTACTAGGGCATTTGGGGATTACGAGTTCACCTATTCTGAGAATGGAACGAAGACTCTGTGACACAATGACAGATAAGCTAGCTATTCCGACGCGTCCCAGTCCAGCTAACCTGAGAGAGAAGTCCAGATTCGGAAGAGAGAAATATATTCCACAAGTAACCAGAAGCATGAACAACCACAAGTTAGAAATATATTCATTTATAGATTGATTCATACACCCATTTTTGATTAATAATTAAGATGAAATCACATATATGAAAAAAAATACTTAGGGTTATAACAAATCATGTGCTACATATCATGCTGAGCATAGTTCAGGTCAGTTGAATACAAGAATATCGTATGTTATACAATACAAAATGTCACATTGGGAAACAGAAACATACTACATTGAGTAATTATCACATCTAATTTTGACTTTTCATCCCATCATATCATATTCATGTTTACTTTCAATAACCGTAGTAAATGTTCTAAATTTCGACTTGTCAGTTGAAGTTAATCGTTTACATCACTTAATGATATGGTTATAAAATTAGGGGAAGTAACAGACCTTACTACTCTTGTTTCGCTGTATAATTAGAAACAGTTAGGTCATGCTTTTCTTTTATTCCTTTTGGTCTACAGCCTTCGTCTGACTGACCAACTATTTGTCTTGTTTTCAAATCATGATCTCGATATACTAAATTTATACTATAAATCCTTTTTTTTCAACGTTACCTTACTAATCGTGCATGCTAATCTAATTACTAATTTATTTGTGAATACAGGTGTGGAGGTTGTTTCTACAGTTATCCTTTTTTATTGATCACTAAGTGTGGGCGACCAGCATAGTTATTTGCCTTTAAGGCTAAGCAATCACGAGCTCTAAGGTTATGCTAAAGAGCCTAACGTATTAACGTTATTAGCTTGTTTTGAGACGAGTTCACTCACATACCTAGCTACGAGACCGGTAGAGATAAAAGTTATTAAAGTTAGAACCATTAAAAGCGATCCTGTAGTTGTGATTACGATTAACGTACCGTTATATTTCTTGAGTACTTCGAGTTGCACCTGACCCTCAATTGCTTTGAAGAGGACTAACGATGGACAGACCCGTTCATGTCACTAGTTTATAAAATCGATAGACACAGCCCAGGCTCCCAACTTTGGGGAAAATTGAGTCCATTTTGGGGAAGCCGCTATAATAAATTTTGGGGAAATGAGAAAAAAAACCCAAAATTTCCCCAGACCTGGGGAAATCCCCAAAATTTCCCCAAACTTTGGGGAAGGCTATTTCACTTTGGGGATTTCCCCAAAGCTGGCAGATTGGGAGTCTTCGGACTTGGAGCCAATCAGAGCTGAAAAATTAGCTGATTGCAATCTGCTTTTTTGTGCTAGGATTATCCGAAAGTAGGTAGTCCTCAGCTAAATGACTAGTATATGGTGATTTGAGCATAAATCAAATTCTCCTACCTGACATGCTGAATCGCTAGGTACTTCTAATTGTAGTACTATTATTATTGTTTGAACACATATATATTTGTACAAGGAAGCACCAAATACATATGCGCCATACAAATCTCATTTGATATGTGTGAGAGCTATTGATTTCTGAAGCAAGAGCATCAATTAGAGCAGAATAAAATGAACAGGCGATCGGTTGCGTTATTTAGCGTCCATAAATATTTAGGTAACTTTTCCTAATAGTGTACTTACAGTCGTTACCTTTTGTTAAAAGAATACTAATTAAGTTAGATACTATAGAACCCACCCTAATTACCAGCACAATCACAGATTACTTAGAACACAATAACGCTATAAACGAATAAAAAGATTAATGCATTAAGAACAGAATAAACTCGTTACACTTGCGCCACCGTCGTTGATCTTAAGCTACATCATACCATCCGCATACTGTTTAGACAATAGGATATTTCCACAGATGTCGATTCCTCAAACACATTGTCAGTATCTTGTTAAATACATTAACGTGACTCCGAAACTATGGTGAAACGAAGAGAAAATTACATTTCCACGGTTGAGTAGTTTCACTAACACTCGGTAAAGTCTTCAACAAAACTCTCTTCTGAAATACGACAAAAATTAGTTTAAATGCGGATGAATATTTTTAATTTGAAAACCATAGATGTTTGACAGTGGGTATTTTGAAGTTTTCTATAGTTTAGTAATAATAACTTGATCTATGCATTTTAATAATTCATGTTAATGCGCTCAATATTAAACGCTTAAAATGTGCAACAAACCCATTACACAAGGAAATGTTATTATTATTAAGAAGCGAAATACATAACTCAGTAATTGAGTTGTATATGTTATTCAAAGCAGCTACTCTATTGATACTGTGAAAAGCTTATTAATCAGCATCAACCGCCAATTTACGTGTTTATCGACATTTAAAGAGATAAACAACATTGCACATTCTGAAATCGTTTTCATCAGCTGTGAATCGGTGTTCGGTACATTAATAAATCACCTACATTCTTTGTATGAGGCATGTTTGATAGTAGTAGTGAGAAAATTTCCTTGGTCAAACCAACAACAGTAACACTATTTAAACAATAAGCTACGTTAATTTATGGAGAAATATATATAAGGTCAACAACAGGCTGTGGATCTAAAATGGCATATTACCGAAACCACATGGCTTGAACATCAGCACATGAAAAGATTGGTCACTCAAAACGACTTCTTTAGAAAATACCGACTAGTATTCGTCACACGTAAAGCATCAACGACAAGTTATTATTAACCTGACTTGGTAACAATCAAAACCCTAATACATTTAACTTCAGAATACATAAATTAATCAGTAAATATCATTAAATTATACAAAATATAATCGATTGTAGGTCGAAAACAGTTTACAACAATTTGCTGGTACAAAAAATCATTGACTCTCGCCATGTAGAGTTTCTTTGTCGAATGTGTATTCTCCAAGACCAGTACCCACACGATTGAGATTAGTAATGTAATCGGAAAGCTTTTTAATAGACTGTACCTGAGTCTCCAAATATTCATCTAGGAAATACCAGAAACAATATTATGTATAATGTGGATAATTGAATGAGAACATAAGTGTGACAAAAAAGGAATCTAATAGTTTTACGGCCAAACTTATGGTATATTGACGACACCTATTTAGTCACCGACTACTCTGGTGAGCTACAATAGGTAGTATACTATGGGTTCAAAGGGAATCTACGGGCAACACAGGGAGTCATCATTAACATTTCTATTGGCGACAACTCGACTATGCTGACAAGCAACGTAGCATCTAGTATGTGCATTGATCGTCAGGATGACATAAAGTATTCGTAAAACCCCATACCTTAGTGTAGTTTGATTTTACTTCACACTTGCTGGAGTTTTTGTATCGACGAGGTGACATTACGTGCGTTTATAGAGAAGAGGGCTGTTATCCCTAACCTTTGGAAGAACAGTCCTTGAGGGCTACACGAAGGGAACTAAGTTAGTAGTCCTGAAGACTTAGGGGCGTGACTATGCTGTGAACGAAACGACCACTTGGGTCTGATTACATCCGGACCCAATTTGAGTAGTCTTAGATGTATAAGCCAACACTCATAGTAGTTTTTCAGTTGTAAACTCATGATTAATATGAAGTAACACGTCTTCGTTCCGGAATAACCAGCCAACAGCATAGCTTCAAGAAACCAGGACTGAAAATCAGGTTGATTGTGTAGTCACTAGTGTCCTGGAAATCGGATTCGCGAGACAACCCCACCATAGGAAAACGGACAATGAACTTACTGTTGATAAATTCGCAAAAGTGCGTATCTCTGTGTCTTTCACCAACAGCCAGTAAATCCATCAGACTCTGATTGACCTTTTTTTCTAAATCAAGAGCATCCTGCATAGCATGGAGTCCCGAATCCCATGAAAGTTGAGGAGGTGCCGATATATTTTGTAACACAATCCGACCACCCCGCATGTTTTGATAAGTCATTAACTATACGAAATTTATCTGGAAATTGTTGAACTACCTTAATGGCATGTTGTCGCTCCTCTTCCGACTCGTTTAAGAAAAATTTATAAAAACCGTTCAGCGCAACATCATCACGATTAAAATGAAAAGCCATAGTCATATAAACATAGCTTGCGTACAGCTCCATGTTAATTTGCTTATTAACACCAGCTTCACACTCTTCATGATAGTTCTGTCTACACAAAGACATTCGCGTGCGTTCTTTAGAAGCGAGTTTGAGGGCAGCGGAATACAGTAATAGTGTGACGTGATATAGTTAAACAAGACAAAACTAGGTAAAACATTTATGACACAGAAAACGTAAATAAAATTAGGATTATTTTTTTAATTCTGTTTCACCCATCTAGAACTTAACAGCTCTCCCGAAAATCCGTTTTATCTAGTTTTAATTGGGAACCCATGTTATCTAAAAAAGGACAGTGGTATTGTTTCTGGTTGAGTTAATTAACTGTTTTGATCGTAAATTACTCATCAAAACTACTGTTTACACTTTAATTGTATCTACTCCATTTAAAGTAATATTGTGTTGAATGTTTAGTTTCTGCTTTTGTTTTTTTGTTGAATTGTAGCATACTTGGTCGACTTTTACGTGATTTATTTAGTTAAGGTTTAAGAATTCTTTTACATATCCTATTTGTGTCACCAATGTAGTTGATTTTCAAGATGACCAGCTCTGCTCATAGATGTGGACAACCATATTGCTTATTCTCCGTGGAGGAAGGGATGCAATGTAAAGAGTGTAATAAGTAGTTCCATAAGATGTACACCTGATTAAGCCCCACTACATATAAAAGGTGCTCAAGGCCCAACTCTCATTGGCTTTGTAGTTTTCGTTGCTCGAGCAAAAAATTACTCATCCAGGAAGCAATTAGCCTCCTGTTGTTTTCTAATAAGAAGGTTGATGAGGGCTGTACTCGTAAGATTGGTACTGATGGCGAAGATTGTGTTAGTGTCGTAAGTGCTGTCACGGTGCAAGCCACACATCTAACCATGAAACCCGCAATTAAACCGTCTAACAGGAAGCAATCAATGAGTGAGACCTCATTAGATATCGGTGTTCATGTTGCTTTGGCGGAAACCGGTGACCCAGATAAAACAATTACTGCCCCGAGTGTTTCTAATGTGGGTGCCACGACTGATGGGATGTTGATGACGCAGAAACGCAGAAGAGTAGGAAAGACAGCTAAAACTAATGACTGTTTACATGATAAGTCTTTAGTGGACTCTCATACCACCCTGCCAAAATCCCAACGTATAGCCTCGTCAAAAATTGTTGTGAAACACCTGCTTCACTCCAATGACTCTGCTACAATAAAAAATTATTCGTAAGATACCTGTAGTTAATATACAGGGTCTAATTTCACGATCGAAAGCTGTGAACACGGTTTCAAAAGAAGCTAAACCTATCCCTAGTTTAATTATTTGGAATCTAGAAGAGTCAAAACACAACAACCCTGCTAAAAAGGCAGGCACATGATCTGCAGTTGGTAGAATCGGTGATAAGAAACGTACTACCTGAAGAGGTTTCAGGGGTAGAGATCACGAAAGTAATACGACTTGGTACATGGGTTGGGAAAGAGACCCAACCAAGAAGGATCTTGAAGCTGGTTCTCGAAAATTTTGAAGAGACAGATAAAGTATTGAAAAACGCACAAAAACTTCGTGATTCAAGTATTCGTATCCAATCAGATTGGCCGCTTGAGGATTGAATCAAGTGGGAGAAGGCGCTTACGGAGTTGAGAACTCGCAAGTGAAACTAACCTTATCACTAAGGGTTTTCGGGTTGTCAGGTCTTGGAAGCCGATGCTTCCGAGGCCTGTATGGGTAGAACAACTGATTGCCAAAACACCTTAAGTGTGTGCTACACGAACGCCCGTAGTCTTAGAAATAAAACGTCCGAGCTAATTCTGATGGTAGACGAATTAAGTCCCGATATAACTGTTGTTACATAACCTTGGTTCACAGTAGATATGGAATGTTCTCCAATCATTGCAGGCTATATCTGTATTAGAAGTGATAGAGTTTTAAGTCGCAAGAGGAGGCATAATGTTACATATTAGAGATCACTTTCGTATACAATCAAATATATCGGAGGCTCATGTTTGTGCTACATGTGAGGTAGCATGTTGTTAGGATAAATCTAGAAATGGGTTAGTGACTAAAGGGGGAATATACCGTAGTCTGTGTTGCCTTGCTGATGACTTTATCTTAAGACACATCTGTTCTTGGAGTATGGCAGAATGTTGTCTCATCATTGGGGACTTCAACGCACAGCATATCAACTGGATAGAGCTTATAGCTCCAGGTGGGGGTTTCGGTAGCGACCTTTTATCAACTGGTATTCAGTGTGCACTAGTACAATGTATCACGAAACCGACACACATCGATTTTCAACATGATCCGTCACTGCTAAACCTCGTCCTCACCTACCACTGTAAGACTGTCTTTGATATTCAGCATCTCCCCCACTAGTGAACACTGACCACGTTGTTAAAAGGCGAATGAAATGTAGTGATGGTATTCCCCCATTGCTGTTACACGAAAATTCATATTTAATAGCTGAATCAGATCGAGCAAAGCTGAGACTTTTTCAAACTATTTTAAGGAAGTCTACTCTACGTTAAATGTAACAAATACTTGTCCCACTCGAACCGAGACAACAGCCGTTGAATCTGTACAGGTGACTGTGGAAACTGTCCTTCCGTTGATAACTGACCTCAAACCTTGTAAGATACCGGGCCCTGACGGGTTACATCCATGGCTTCTGTCATCTCTTGCGGACATCATCTCAAAACCGCTCGCGACAATCTTCAACATGTCCCTCTCACTCGCTCAGCTCCCTAGAGATTGAAAAAACACTGTAGTCAGTCCTATATTCAAGGATGGTCAGAGACAGATCGTTTCCAACTACCGGCCTGTCAGTCTAACTAGCATTGTCGTTAAGTTACTTGAAACATGAATCGAGTTAGGTCGTTAAGCCACACACAATCTGTTAGCTCCTAAGAAACATGGATTTCTTATCAGGAGTTCATGCTTGACTAACTTACTTATTGAGAGGATTGGACGGCAGCCTTAGATAAAGGTCTGTCTGTCGATGTGATATTCAAAGATTTCGGTAAAGAATTTGACGAGGTTTCACACGTAGGTCTTATGCAGAAGCTTACGAGCTTCGGAATATTAGATACTGTACGGGAGTGGATAGGAAACTTCTCATGTGACCGCAGACAGAGAGTGAGGTTCAAAGGGACGCTATCCGATTGGAAGCCGGTCAAAAGTGTTGCACCTGTAGAATTATGATCTACTATGATATTAGTACCGCTCTAATAATAGACCTAATCCTAAATTTGTAGATTTGTCATGATATAACTGCCTAATCTATAAGATCTTACGTGGAAGTCACACCATCGACTACACCAACTCACTGTATCGTATCAAGGTTAGGCTAGAGAAAGAACAATATATTTAATATGAATAGAAGATATAAGGTAACATTCAGCAGAGACCACGCCTGCATGGCCGAGCCATGCCGTTCGACCAACTCTAATTCATTCACTTCGTTGTTCGCGCCTTCTCCATCGTTAGGTATTTCTTTGGGTTAAATATTGAATATCTATTTTCCGAGTAATCTCGTATTCAGCTTTGAGGATTGTGTGGTTATAGTCCAATGCCACTACACACCCCAAGGCACCATCTTAGACCCTCTGCTCTTCCTTCTCTACGTTAACGAGTTGCCGCTTTTGCTTAGGTCGTCGACATTATTGTTTTGGACGATATAAAAATCAAGAGAACAATAAAAAAAGAAGCCGATCATCTAAATCTTCAAGCTGACTTAGACGATTTTGTTAGATGTGCTCGAGGTTGGGGCTTAAAAATCAATCCTAGGAAGAGTGTGCTAATGCACATCGGTCACGGTAATAGTTACCATGATACTATTGATGGTAAACCTCCTCCATGCGTTCAAGAACATGAAGACTTGGGAGTAATAATACATCATGACTTGAAAACAACTACGCATTGCAACGCAGCCGCTGTTAAAGGTTTTCGTGCGTTATGGTCACTTCGCCGAGAGTTCAAATCTTTTGACGATGAAACGTTTCGAGTTTAATATACCACCTATGTAAGACCACATTTAGAGTAGTGCATCCAAGCAGCTAGCTCATGTCTGATAAAGTATACTAACTCACTTGAGTGTGTCCAACGTGTTGGAACGAAATTAGTGAAGGGTCTTGCTAAACTCCCTTACGGTGAGCATTTAAAGCGCCTTGACCTTTTCCATTTGTCGCATCGTAGGACGCGAAGTAACGTTATACTGGCATTTTGTATATTTTATTATGACTTTGGTGTTAATATGTCTTATCTTTCTGATCTCTTCAGCGCTAATAATCTCCGAGGTCATAGCAAGAAGGTTCATAAACCGCGACCTAATAAACTTAAAGTTGCGTCCCGTTTTTCTCATCGAGTTGTCAATGATTGGAACGCCTAACCTGAACAAGTGGACTGCCTCATCAGTGAATATTTCCAAAGAGAAACTGGACCTTCATTGGAAGGCAATCTGTCAGAATTAGCACAGGTTCACCAGCCTACTATCCTTATTACTGAAGACTGAAATGAACAGTCAGATGTGTGACCTGTATTAAATCTGACAGTAGTGACCATTCAGTTGATATAAGTTTATTTTAAAAGCATCAACAAGTATGCCTCTAATCACGTGGTCAAGTATCGAATGCCACTCTTTGATGATTCTATTAGAAAGTCGATAGTCAGCCAACAAGTACTTCATCCTCGGCTTGTGAACTATTTTAGTTTCCTTGCAAATTGTCTGTTTTGGAATACAGGAACGAGGACGGCATATCAGTTGCCAATTATTCAACAAGGGGTGACAAAACTGTGGTCGTTTCACCTCTGGTTCTTTCATATTACAATGGAAATACGTTAAATTTAGACAGTCGAACGTCAAACGGGGGCTTTGATATTCCGGGAATCAGCTCAGATGCAGTCCTTTGAACCTATTCCAACAACCCACTGTCTCTTTTCATGCAGGAGTAGGTGTGATGATTAAGAGTATTTGACTTATTGTACGAACTAGAAATCCTAGAAATAACGCAATTTAACCAAGAAGTATAAGTTGAGCGCGAACAAACGTATTGTATTTGAAATTCGAAATCAGACAATAAACAAGTACAAAGGAATCATTAGGTCAAACAAACACCAAGGCCAACCACCTGTATGCATAACTCTAATTAAGGACGAATGAAGGTTTTGGCCTCGACATGGCTAAAAGCCCTATGTATTAACAATAGGTTTCTAAAACCTTTATCGCAAATCGGACAGCAGTGTTCAATAGTCTTTAGGTCTTGTTTAGCGA